AAAGTGTTTCATCCGAAACTGTGACTATTAGTCAAGAAGATATAAGCCTTGTTTTACAAGGAGACATTGAAAATATAAAGAAACGATTGGATTATTTAATGAAACATGATACGGAAATGTATAACAAATTGCAGACATTTATAAATGAATATCGAGCAAGATTGGAAATTCTCAATAGATACACAGTAGCAGCAAAGTGTGGAGAAGCAATTACTAAAGGTGAATTTTCCAGAGCTGCTGATATATTCAAATTAGTTTTCCGATCAAACTATGATGAATTAATTCATGAGGCATATGGCAACAGCTCACAAAATTTTCGTAAAATTTTAAATTTTGCAAACCATGTTTACAATAAAGATGAAAATAAAACATTGTTATTATATAATGAATTGTTTGAACAATCTAAATCAATTGCAACTATTGACAGTTTAATGCAAATGGCTACTTTCATCTCGACTCGTTATAATTTCTCGGATTGGACAAATCTGAAAAGCAAAGTTTTGGATGAAATAATTCAAAGAAAAAGCAGCGAAGTAGTAAATGTAACAGATACCCTGGTGAAAGATAGAAAATTTCGTGAAAGTTCTTATAAGTTTTTCAATGAGGTATATTTTTTGGATCATGATGCTGGATTTAAACTTTACGGGAATATTATTCAAGAGCTCATGAAAAAAAATGATAAACTAATTCTCATGGGCTTTGTTAGTTATTGTGCTAATCTTTCTCTGAGAATTCATGGATTATTTGTTTTAAATGATTTATTTTCTACTAATACTTACTATTTCTTCACCTTTGTACGACATATCAAAGGAACATATGAAAGTCCAAATCTTCGACCTGATGAAAAGGAAAAAGTTACCAAACTGATACAAAGTTTGCCTTCTTCTGTTCAGGCAGCTGCATATACGGATACATTTTGCATACGAAATAAAGAGTCTGACAATTACTTGAAAGTATTAAAGTCGTATATAGCAGAACTCTGGGAGATTCAACTTTCTCCAGGCAGTACTGCTTATCAAAGCACAAAATGGGTTATCGAAAGGACACCTTCGTCTATTTTTTTCATAATTAGAAGTCTTCGCCTAGGATGGTTCATCACTGAACACTACGGTATTGACTCGAATCGCGACCATGCTCCATGGATCAGGTTTGATGTAAACACAAAAGAAAATTTTGTATATTTGAAAACTACTAAGTATATAACAGACTACGAAGGCGAAATGAAATTTTACAGTACTCCGAATAAATTTTCACGATGGCATTTACAAAAATGTTGAATATAAAAAATCATAATATGTGATGCACTAGGATAAATCAAGGTACTCATGAAATACATAAAGCAAAATTATCAGCAACAAATTCATTCTAATAATATATACTGTTTTTCATATATTTTTAATCTGCTAACAATCCAGTTTCAGTACAACTTCTTAAATAGTATTATGTGTTTTCTGTTCATTTTTATATGTTCGTAAGACAAATTGTTCAAAAATATGAAAATATAAGGTGTTAGAACCCTAGCTTGTCAAAAACAAAGAAATTCTGTTAGTCGCTCTAACTTTGCTTTTTAAATGCATTAATATAGCACTGCAAAATTAATGATTTTATCTAAATTGCATAAATATAAGAATTGTTTCATACATTAAATTTTCAGATTACCAAAGTTTGAAAATGCAAATAATATATTTGTTCATTTTATCAATATTATCATTTCTGTTTTTAAATTCATTTTTTTTTGTTTCTTAAGTGTTATAAATTTTGTCAAATGTTTTAATGTTAGTATTATGTAGCATTTCATAGAATATATTCAGAATTGGCAGTATCACTATAAACTAGTGGTGTATGGCATCGTGCCTTAAGGCAAATTGTTCGAGGAATATTAAATGTTTTCAAATAGATTATTATAAATAAATACTGTAACATTGTCTAATATTTATAAGTTGAAATTATTTGTTGAAAGTATATTAGAACTTAAGTCAGAATTCAAATTGAGATCTGAATTATTTTCGACATACAAAAAAAAATTTCTTGAAAAAAAAAGAAACATTATTTTATTGAAACAAGCAGAAAGTTCTTTGAATAATTCAAATCGGACGCATAGTTCTCTCAAAAACTGCCATTTTTTGCACATTTAGCTCTGTATCTTTGAAATGGCTAGACCTGCCTTTGCCAAAAACTAATCAACTTTTTTCCAAATCATTACTAATTGAATGCTTTTTAGATCATCCAAATCGGATACTCCGTTCTATCAAAAATTCAATTTCTATTTTCTACTCTCTTTGCTCTTTATCTCCATAACGGGTAGACCTGCATTTGCCAAAAATCAGCACATCTCCCTATCAATAGGAATCGAATGCTTTTTAAACCATTCAAATCGGTTGATCCGTGCACCCAAAAATGTGGACGAAAAAATGCGGACATACAAAACACACACACACATACACCATCCATTTTTTTGAGGTATGCCAAAATGTTCAGAAACCTTCAAAACGTCGAGAAATGTAAAAATTTTCATTTTCGATTTTCGGCCTATTACTATAACTACCCTACGGGAAGGTAAATATTATATATAATTTTATACAAGTATAATTTAACTGTACATTGCAGACTTCAAAGAACAACATACTAAAATTAAAATGATTCATTCTTGTTATTAATTAAATGGTTTGAGTTGTGTTTCTGTCATAAATTAATCTGATTGTTGACTTTATTTGTAAATTAACCTCTAAATTTACTGTTTACCTAATAATATCTTTGAATTTAAGATAATAAACAAATATTAAGAACAATTTTTAGTATAATATATAAAAATTTTCTCCAGTATGATATTTTTATAATACTTAAATGATCAAAAATATAAATTTGAAATAATTGAAATATATTGAAATAATCTTATTATAATATTTGATTGTTCGTTTATCTCACAATCAGACAAATAATGATAAAATAAATATTTACTCTTATCAATTTTATAATTGCTTTAGTAAAGATAATAATAAATCTTTTCCGTATATATAAAGGAATGTGTTTCATAGAATATCATAAAGTATAAAAAACATAATCAAAATGAATTTTTCATATCTTGTATTCATTATATTCAATATTCAAATTGTGTTAACACAATTGTTTGAAACACCATCTCCTAATGAAAGTGTTTCATCCGAAGATGTGACCATTAGCCAAGAAGATATAAACCTTGTCTTACAAGGAGACATTGAAAGTATTAAAGAAAGATTGGATTATTTAATGAAACACGATTCGGAAAAATACAACAAATTGCTAAAATTTATAAACGAAAATCGAGCAACATTGGAAATTCTGAATAGATATACATTGGCACCAAAATGTGGAGAAGCAATTGCTAAAGGTGATTTTTCCAGGGCTGCTGATATTTTGAAATCAGTTTTTCCATCAAACTATGATGAAGTCATTCATGAGGCATACAAGAATAGCACACAAAATTTTGGTAAAATTCTAAATTTTGCGAATAATATTTATGATAAGGATGAAAATAAAACATTGTTGTTATATCAAGAGTTGTTTGAGCAATCTAAATCAATTGCAAATGCTGATAGTTTCCTGCAAATGGCTACTGTTATCTCAACAAGTTATAATTTCTCGGATTGGGTAAATCTGAAGAGCGAAGTTTTGGATGAAATAATTCAAAGAAAAAGTAGCGAAATGGTAAATGCAACAAATACCATGATATTTGATAAAAAATTTTGTGACAGTTCTTACAAGTTCTTTAATGATGTATATTCTTTAGATCATGATGCTGGATTTAAACTTTCCGCGAATATTATTCAAGAGATTATTAAAAAAGTTGATATACTATTTCTCATGAACTTTGTTAGTTTTCATCCCAATCTTTCTCTGAGGATTCATGGATTATTTGTTTTAAATGATTTATTACGAGCTATAAATTATAATCATTTCTTTACCTTTGTTGATCATGTCAAAAGAACATATGAAAATTCAAATCTTCAACCTGATGAAAAGGAAAAAATGACTCAACTGATACAAAGTTTGCCTTCTTCTGTTCAGGCTGCAGTATATACAGACACGTTTTGTATACGAAATAAAGAGTCTGATAATTATTTAAAAGTTTATTATGAAGGATCCTGGAAGGTTCATCTTTCACCTGGCGATACAGCTTATCAAGGCACAAAATGGGTTATCGAAACGCCGACACCGACTATTATTTTTTATATAATTAAAAGTCTTCGCTTGGGATGGTACATCGACAATAAATACGGTATTAAATCGAAACACACGTATACTCCATGGGTCAGGTTTGATGTAAACATGAAAGAAAATTATGTATATTTGTACTGTGATTCTAAGTTTATAACAGATTCTAAGTATATAACAGACTACGAAGGCAGAATGACTTTCAATACAAAACCAAATAATTTTTCGCAATGGATTTTACAAATATGCTGAATATAAATGATATATATTGATATAATTTTTACCACTATTCAACTGATGTTAAGTATATCAATGTTCAGTGTTTTGTCGGTCCAATTCTTAAAAATTTGAAGTGTTAGAAATTATAGTTTGTTTAGTTAAAATTAGTTTAATTGAATTGAATTAAATTGAGATAATGCTACTCTGTAAATGCTTTAATATTAATATTCAAAATAAAATAAATAAATCTACATTCTGAAAGTAATTTTTTTTACTCTGAATTTTCAGGATTTTTCAAGAAGTTTGTTTATGCAAATAATGACTTTATCCAGTCTATGAATATTATCATTTCCGTTCTTTTTTCTATCATTTTTTTTGGTTTCTCAAGTGTTATAGATTTTCAATTCAAATTTGTAAGACAAAAATTTGTATCCATACATACATAGATACACACACATCTATTTTCCAAGGTATGCCAAAACGATATGCAAAAATTTTCATTTCCGATTTTTGGTTAATTAATAATAAATAATAATTTGGCCGATACTTTTTAGATTTATTTACGCACAAATTAAAATTCACATAAATCTTTATTTAGTTTCCAATTCAATTTTATCGGTATGGCTGGACGTTCTTCGTATATTAACTTCTTTTTCATTATTCCATCGTTGAAGTTTTCCAGATCCGAAAATCAAATAAAATAACGATGTCACCGATAAAAAAATTCCAGTTACAGAAAATACTATTGACCATACTCGTCCAGAATTCTGATAATGAATATTAAAAATTAATTAATAAAATTAATAAACCAAAAAGTCGACTATCTACTAAGTTGCTTGATATGGGGTTGAATTATTCGCGTACAACTCAGAAATTTAAAATATCAACTTTTTTGGAGAAGAATGAAATTTAATTTCATACATATAATATATCTAATATATTTAATTTCATACAATAATATATCTAATTTAGTGTTCAAAACATTCTGAATGAATATTTTCAATGTTGAGTATTTATGTTACCAAATGCAAAAGACCATACACGTCCAGAATTCTGGTAATAAACATTACAAATTAATTATTAAACTAAAAATTCGACTATTTTATAAGTTGAGAAGAGTAAAAGTTAATTTCATACATGTTTTACATACATTGTCAGAAAGAATTATGGAAATATTCCTAGTATAAATTTTTTTAATAGAAGCTACAAAAATCTTTTGTGCTTTTCTAAATTTTTAAAAAGTGACGCAAAAATTTCCTAAGACGTTCGAAAAAGTTTTCAATTTTTATAAATATACAGAAAGTTTAGTTTTTTTCACAAAAAGAGATTAACAAGTCAGCTTATGAATAACTATAAATTATAATTTTGAAATGGTTTTACTCACGTTTGATATTAAATATCCTGTAAGAATCGGTCCTAGAATTCCCATTGTGGAACCAATACCATTGGTTATACCAGAAAGAATTCCTGCATAATTTGGCGAAAGGTCCAGAATATTTGTCTTAATACCAGGATAGTACAATCCTTTGAAAACTACAAGGAATTAATAAATTTTAAGTTAATGAAATAATAAACTATACAACTTATAACAAGCTAATTGCATTAAACCTCAATTTAAGTTTATAATAGAATGAATCTCCAAAAATCACATCACTTAAAAATCAAAATAATTTTTTTCTTTATTATTTAACGATAATTTTCACACTTTTTCTAAAGGGATAACAAATAAAATATATAATAATAATAAAGGAATAATTAATAAAGTTAAAAATTTGCGTTAAAAATACAAAATTCTGGAGTTTTTTATTTTATTTTATTTTCATTCTGCAATCTATAAAAATAAATATATTTAGCAGAGAATGCTGACAAGTGTTTACAATTGGTTGTTTACAAATTAGTACATACGCCCAGTGGTGTATCTACTATAGTTAATATATAAAAAGAAAAAACTAAAGACAAAAAATTTCTGGAGTTGACTGAATAAATCAAAAAGTTTGAGTACAAATTTCTCACTTTTCAACAGTTAACCTCTTTATAAACAAAGTTGAAAGCTTAAATTAGTATTAACAAAAAAATAAACATTTTTTAGCCAAAGCTGAAGAATTTTGGCTGAAAGTCCATAATTTTGATGATTCAGGATTGAATTACCAATGTTTTGATATACCATTATTTTTTTTAAAATAAAAATGATTTTAAAAAGTGATTTTAGCATTGGTTGATGAGAATTGATTTTGCGTAGACTTATATTTAGATTATATATTTTTTTCAAATAAATAATTACCAAAACATAGTGAAAAGCTAGTCATGATGATGGTTTTGTTAGAATCCACATATGGAGCGATCACAATCACAGCTGTACTACCAAGTGAACCTAAAAAAAAATAATTTAACATATTTAGTATATTGTAAGAAAAAATGTTTTTAATTAATCAAACAAAAAGACAATTATAAAAATATACTATGTTAGAAAAAAAAAAAACATTGGAAAAAATCTTGATTTTAGTAGCATTCAGATTCTAGCATGATCCTAAAAATGTTCACAATAATAATTTTAATATTTTATATAAGTGATAAAAAATTTTATCTTATTTAAATTTGTATGATTATCTATCTAAAATATATTATTTTTGTGTATCTGCAAGATTTGAGTTTCTCAATGGTGAACCAAATTTAATGTTCAAAACGTTCTGAAGAAATATTTTCAATGTTTATTGCATCTATAGTATTTATATTACATAGTTGCTAAAATAGAAAATAAATTGTAGGAACCCGAAAGGGGAAGAAATGTTTTATCAATACTATTAATTTATAATGTAAATTTATGCATATAATTTAAATTGGAAATAAAATAATACTTACTAATTGTGTTAACAATTTTTCTGGCAGCAGTAACAGTAACAATTCCATTTTTAATTCCCAAATCAGTCAATTTTGCAATAACAAGGGCTGTGACAAACATGAATAGATATGGAATTGAAGTCACATATCTAGAAAAAAAATTGTATTAAAATATTGATTTGATATATATATATATATATATATATATATATATATAAATAGTGTAGAAAACATAATAATTTGTAACTAATTGGTAAATATCAATATAGGTTATTAAAAAAATTGGAACTTTTGAATTGCAGACATGGGTACAGGACAACGTCTGTCGGGCCATCTAGTATATATATATATATATAAATTTATTTACCAGTTTTTATCCAGATCATATCCAATAACGTCATTCACAAATTTTGGAAACATAAACTGCATGATGTGGAATGAAAATTCATGGCCACACTGAAATATAAGAAATTTATATTTTCTCAGAGATTTAATTTTTATATACAATACAGAAAAATATATACTTAATATAATTTCAATTATATATCTAAAATAAAATTATATATATTGTATGCCCTATATAAAACAATCAGCTATTTATTCTCTTTTAAATTTGATTTTGCAGTTCTTGTAATTATTATAAAATTTGTAAAATATTTTTATATAGTTATATTTTTTTATTACCTGTGCTAAAATTAGAGCCCATATAGGCAAAGATCGAACGATGGATTTCAAAGGTAAAGTTCCATGATTTTTGTCAATAGGACTGATAATTTGAGAATCCAGGATGAAAGATTTTTCTTCCTCAGTTATGTAAGGATGCGAATTAGGATCGTCAAATATACAAATACTCTGCAAAAAAGTAATTAAATATAATTTATGAATTACATCTAAAAATACTTGTAAATAAAAGCCAAGCTGAAAATTTTGCTAATTTCAAAAAAAGTAATCAATGAGAGCATTTCAAATCGAGTTACATCAAATACATTTCAAAATTTTGTAGTCGATGAGCTGTTTTTCAAAAAACAACAAAAGGTCAAATTTTGGCTCACAAGCAAACAACAATTTTAATATAATTTTTTCCAATTTTGATGTCAAACGATTTGAAAAGACGAGAAAATTTTCTGGCTGTTTATTTAGGAAGTTATTCATCATAAACATATTTAAAAAAAATCAGTTTAATTTTTGACCAAATCTATAATTCAGGTCACATAAATATTATATTTATTATTATATTTTTTCTTACCCAGGAAATCATCCACAAAGCCATAGAACAGCAATACAGCATAATTATGTAAGAAAAGCAATAAATATTCTGCATCAAAAGTCCATTGATGAGATTGCTGCAAAACATTGCAGCAATTATGCCTGAATATGCCAAAGTTGTCATAAAAGTTCGTTCTGCAGGAGGTGACCATTTTTTGCTACCATGTGCAGGACTAAGGGAAAAGCCATGCCCTGAAATGGAATAAAAAATTTAAAATGATTAATTACTATTTTTATTGACCACTAAGTATTTTGATCAATTGCGAAAATAAACTAGTGGGGCGCATGGCATCGTGCCTTAAGGCAAATTACTGGAACTTTCCGTACCGTAATCAAATTCGAGAAATTTTAAACGTTTTCAAATATATTATTACAAATACTGTAACTTTCATTATTTTTGCTATCTCGTTATATCTGAGCAAATCAAAAGTAAATCCTCAATCAATTTATCTCCAGAACATTAACAATCGTCATTTCATTTCGAATTCAATTTCAAAAAATTAGTTGCCTAATTTACACAAAATTGAAAAAGTGCTCCCGTATAATCGCAGTCTAAACAAACCATTTGCAAATAATTCTGTGAGAAATTTTCACTTATACTGTACTTAGCTTAGCGGCATTTTCACATTTTTCAATAGTTTTCACTAAATTGAAAAAGTGCTCTCGCACATAAACAGTCTAAACGCACTTGGCTAAACATTTGCACCAGAGTGGCGCTAAGACTGTGCTTAGCCTGAGTAACTTTTTGAATAATAATCCAAATATTTTATAGAAAATAAAAAAAGATGTAAGAATTTTTTATCCTCAAAAGCAATTGTTCTGTCAATACAAGCAGAAAGTTTTTTAGATCATTCAAATTTTACTTACGGACGCTTAGTCCACTCAAAAACTGCTATTTTTTGCACATTTAGCTCTGTATCTTCGAAATGGCGAGACCTGTCTTTGCCAAAAACTAATCACCTCTTCCCCCAATCATTACAAATTGAATGTTTTTTAGATCATTCAAATCCGATACTCCGTTCTCTCAAAAACTCGATTTGTATTTTCTGCACTCTTTGCTTCGTATCTCCGTAACGGCTGAACCTGCCTTTTCCAAAAACTAATCAGCACATCTCCCTACCAATAAGGATCGAACGTTTTTTAAACCATTCAAATCGGTTAATCCGTGCGCCCGAAAACGTGGACGAAAAAATGCGGACATACAAAACACACAAACACACACACCCATTTTTTCTGAGGTATGCCAAAATGTTCAGAAACCTGCAAAACGTCGAGAAATGCAAAAATTTTCATTGTCGATTTTGAGCCCATTACTATAACTATCCTACGAAGTTAGGGGAGCATGGCATCGTGCCTTAAGGCAAATTGCTGTAACTTTCCGTTCCTTATTTAAACATTCTAAGAATTAAGATAATCGATCAACAAAAATATCTATGAATAAATATTATAAAAACTAGAATTTTATAATACATCTTATAAAGCGATTAAATAACGTACACCTAACAATATATAGAGGTCTTGTAAACTGAACAACAGTGCTCACAACCAAAAATCTAATAACAAAAAAAAAACTTTTGTTATAGATTTTCAAACACTGCCGTTTATCTTCCCACAGCAACGCCATAAGAATCAAGTTGATGATGGTTGTACACTTTTTGCCCTCTACTTTCAAATATGATTGTTAAAAAATTCTCTACTTCACTTATTTTTAAGATATCAGTGGCGGACTTTTTTACCCGCGTACTTTATATTTCTTCTAATTTCTAATTTCTAATTCTTCCTACCTCACCCAATCCGCTGATGACTCTTGCAGCAATCAGGGCAACTCTTTGCCCATACATGACCACACAGGCGGTCACCAATGTCATAGAAAAAACCACAGAACAACTGAAGGCCAACACAGATTTGCAGCTGAAGCGATTTCCTAGCCAACCTGATGCAACCTGGAGCAGAGGATGACCGTAGCCTGAACTCAAGGCTATGAGATTTTTGAGGGGGTTGGTGCATAGTCGACGTTTTGCCTGGAAAAGGAAAAAAATCAAAATTGAAAACATTGAAGACTATGTAGAATAGGGCGGGTCGATTTAAAGGTCACTTAGGCACATATGGTCAATCTTCAATTGAAAATATAAATATAAAATATTTTTCCATTGCAACTAGCCTATTTCATGTAATGCTGTGTGAAATGGCAATGGGAAACCATGTCACACTATTCTTCCCTGAATCGAAATGGAGTTTTTCCCTCAGCTCTCGAACCTGGCCTAAAACAATATTACCTTTTATTATTTATAACGATCAACTGAGCTATTTCTTCAAAATTAGCAGAATAAACTTTCTTCTACATTAGAGCGGGTCGATTTGTATGGGTCAAAAAAAGTCGCTTAGGCATACATGATTTTCGGATACTAGGGATCAAAATAAGATACTTTGGTGAAGAAACCATACCTCTGAAATGAATTTTGATGTTCCGTACGTTGACCCAAAAATAAGGGTTGAATGTTGAAAAACCGCTCAGGGAAGGTCCCAAGGGATGAACCGGCTTTTCAAAGTTAGAAGGGGTCGGTCATATATTTGGACGCGATTGGGGCACTCTAAATGGGTCAAAATGGAATTTTTCAAATTTCAACCCTTATTTTTGGGTCATTGCACAGGACATCAGAATTCATTTTAGAGGTATAGTTTCTTCAGCAAAGTATCTTATTTTGATCCCTAGTATGCGAAAATCATGTGTGCCTAAGTACACCCAAACAAATCGACCCGCTCTAAATGTAGAAGAAAGTTTATTCTGCTAATTTTGAATAAACAGTGTGGTTGAACGTAATAAATTATAAAGGTTAGTATTGTCCTAGGACATATATGTACGCTGAGTAAAACACTTCAGCTAGATTCAGAGAAGAATAGTGTGACAAGGTTTCCCATTGCCATTTCACATCGCAGTGTCCGATATGGGCTATTTTCAATTGGAAACATATTTTTGACATATATTTTTAAGTGAAAGTTAATTTCAAAAGTTTCAAGAGAAGTTGATTAATGTGTTATTAATAAATTAAAATAAAAATCAATAAAATATTATTTAGAAAAAATTACACCTCAATTGGTTATCAACTAACCTCTTCAGTTGATCCATCATCAACATCAGCGACTGCAACTGATGTTAGTTGAGCAATATATTTTTCCATCTGCAAATTGAAGAGACACCAAAACAACATCATGACAACCACTCGGCGTTTTTGATAAAATAGAACTGCAAAATAAAAAAAAATATTGCATCTAATAATTGCAAAAAAATCATGTAGGATAGGAAAGGGCACAAAAATAGGTATTAACTTGAAGCAAATATATTGTGAAAACTAAACGAATTATATCACAACAAAAAACACATATCTAACAAACAACTATCTGACTGTGTTCAGTAAAACTCCCAGATAATACATCATTTAGAAATGTATTTTTTGTTGTTTTTTCAAAATTTGACAATGGGGTTTCTTTTATCCCATATTCGGTGTAGGGGGCAAACAGATCCAATGAGTTATTTTTAATTTTAAAAGGATTTTATTAAATTAGAGGTACATTTTTCAACCAATTTTTTTTACCGAGATAACACTGTATATAATGTTGATCTGGTATTTTGTCAGAAATATTCATCAGCAGAATTGGTATAACTATTTATTTAATTTATCTCTTGAGAAATTGCTTTCTTTAACTTAATTTACTCTTTTATTTACTATTTTTGCCACCTTATTAATATTGATTTTTTTATTGTATGTTATATTTTGGTTTATGTTTTATGTTATATTAAATAAAAAGTTAAAATATAACAAGAATGATAAAAATAATTAATTTCGACTTCTTTAGATATAGAAAATTCATTCAGCTAATTTCATAAACATAAATTATATATAATCTAACCGTTTGATAAGAAAGTACTTGAAATATTCAAAACACGACAGGAATAGCGAATCAAAACCATTTTAAATTATAAAAAATCCCCCAAAAAAACTAACAAAATTAAAATTTACAAAACGTCAAATAATTTGGACATATTTTGTTTAAACTTGTTAATGCGAAAAACATGTAAATCGACCTTTAAAATTTAAATTCTTTTATAATTAGTGTAATACTCTTGTAAATACTTTTTCAAAATGTTAGAAAGCAAAATAAAATGTTCCTTAAGAATTAGTATATTCATATCTTACATAATTTTCTTTAAACCTTTTGAATTGATTCTGTTTAAATATTTAAATATATATTATTGCTTATGATTTCAATTTTCTTAAAAAAACTTTTGTTAATTATGTCGAAGTAGAAAGAATTTTTTTCCGAAATAGATATTCTAGTTCTTAAATTTATTGTTATTTATATACTATTATCTTATGTACTTGTGCTAAAATTATTACTATTATAAATAATTACCACTAATAATAAAATAGACAGATGGCATTTGCAAAACCTTTTAAAAATTGCATAAGTATAAAATTAACAAATAAAAAAACACAATAGTATAACAATTTTCAAAAACTTGCTCACACCTTGATCACATATCATTAAATGGTTGGATATCAGCTGTTCCCCAAATTACGAATATTATATCAGTGCTAATCAGCCATAAGGAGCCTATTGAAAAATTATAAAACCAAGCCCATTCGAGATCTTTCTGAAATAAAAAATATACAATTAAATAAAATTCTGATAAAAATATTTTTTATATTAATTATTACCTTATCGGTCAAGCCCTTAGTGAGGAGTCCTGCAATTAAAGATGCAAAAACACCAGCCAAGGCTCCCAAACCGTTTGTGATTCCTGTTACAGTTCCTGCATATTTCGGAGATATGTCTAAAGCATTTACTCGAAATCCTGGCAAAAAGGCACCCATTAAACCTAAAAAAGAAAAAAATCATAAGATAGTAAACATTTCTCTAAAAAGAATGGTATTATTATACCATTCTTGCTATTTTAACAAAGGCAGCTGGATCGCGATGACAAAATTTGATCGAGATATCAAAATTTAGAACTACTATATATTTTTTTTAAATTCAAATCATACTGACCAAATCCAATAACTATAAAACCACAAGATATATTGGGACCACCAGGCCAATTTCTAATTCCTGGCATTGAAGCTGCTGCTATAAATACTGCTGGACCAATTTGAGCTTGAAAATATATAAATTATTAATAAAATATAGACAAAATAAAATATGTTAAGCAAATTATTAAAATTATACAATTACAGATATAAATATTTTTAAAAGACGTCAATTGGAAATCGCACTGATTAATTTTTAGTGAAAGCGAAAATTGTATTTTTGAAATAAACAGTTTAATATTTTTCCTAAATAGATGAATCTCACTGAATTCTTATTAATTAAGTTAATTATGTATACATATCGGAAAGTTTTATTACATCTAGTTATATATTTTATTTCTTCTTACCAATGGAACTAAACACTTTTCTGGCAACTGTGTATGAGAACTTTCCTTTAGCAATCAGATAATCGGATATCCATCCAAATATAAGAGATAAAGCCCACATTAATAACCAGGGCGAAGCAGACATGTATCTGCAATATAATAATTTATAATAAAATTATATAATTTGGTTGATAAATATATATTCTACTATTACCCGCTACGTGAAACATTATAATCCAGAACGTCTTTCATAAACTTTGGTAAGTCTGTCATAGGGCTGAAGAGACCCCAACTGTGACCCCATTGTACCATGACTAAAGCCCAAAAAGGAACATTAGTAAACATCCCTTTCCAAGGAGGCAGTTTCACTGTATGAGCAGGCTGAAAAATAACAAACAGCAATAATAATAATGACTAAAAAATAAAAAATAAATTAATTATCTATGCAATATATTAAGTTTCATGCAAAAGTGAAGCAACAAGTTTCATAAAAATTTGTAAATTATACCTCCACATTTTCGGTAAGATAATCCAATTCTGATTTCCTAATACAAGGATGCATTGGTGGTTCATCGTGACAAAGGACAACCCAAAGGATAAACCATATCACACCCATATAATACCAAAAATATAATTTGGATAGACCCAGTCGTGGGTTTGGTCCACGACTGCTCCTGACAATGCCATACCTAAAAATTAAATTGATACAGGGTGTTTCAGAATTCAACGTCAAGACTAAATGAGCTAATAGAATTGATCGTGTAAAAAATTATAAAAAAATTATTACATGTAGCTTGAAAATGATGATCTTTTAAGTGCAACCTAGAGCTATTCTGAATCTGTGTCCAAATGGTAAAATACTGGAAAATCTTGGGTTGCACTTGGGGGGTGTCCATTAATCACGTGATTGCTTTTTAAGGTAGTTTGGACTTCTACCTCTCCCTTGGTGGTACTTGGTGACATTTAAAATAAGCCCCCCCTTCCCCCCAAATATCACGTTTATTTTTAGTACCTAAAAATCGTATTTTTAACTTCCCGTAGGGTAAGTTATAGTAATCGCAGAAAAAACGAAAATGAAATTTTTTAGGTATCTTTACGTTTCAAAGGTTTCTGAACATTTTGGCATACCTTAGAAAAGATGGATGTATGCGTGTGTGTATGTGTGTAAGTGTGTGCATGTGTATGTGTGTGCGGATACAAATTTTTGTCGACGATTTCGGGACCACGGATCAACCGATTTAAAGAGTTCAAAAAACATTTGATTTGTATTGATAACGAGCCGTTCCGAAGATACGGGGCAAAAAGTGCCAAAAACGGTAACTCAGTTTTTAAGAGAACGGAGCGTCTGATTTTAATAATTCAAAAAAAATTTTACTTATATTAAAAGATGAAGAACTGATTAAATTTTTGGAAAGGCAGGTCCAGCAATTATAGACTTTCAATAAAAATAAGTTAAAAAAATGTCATTTGGCGGTCAAAATTGTTTATTATCGACATATGTACATCAAATTATCAGATATTTTATACAAATTTTAATAATGTGTACACATTTTGTGTAATTGTTTTCCGACTCAAGATTTTTAATTTTGAAATCCAAAAACATTTTGCTTGATTAAAGAGTGTGCAAAAAAGCATTTATAGAAAATTTAGTGATTTTAAAAAATTAAACAAAAAAATCAAAATTTTCAAAAAAATTCAAATTTTCGAAATTTTTCATTTAAAAAAAAATAAATTTTAAAATATTTATGAAAAATCGAATTCTTACAAAAAATTGAGAATATTTCGAAAAAATTCGAATATTTTCAAAAATTTCCAAATTTTCAATAAATTTAGAAAAAACGTTTTTATTAAATTCCGAAAAAATTCAACCTTATAAAAAATTTCAAAGTTTTGAAAAAAATTCAAAATTATCAAAAAATTTCTAAATAATAAAAAAAATCAAATTTAAAAAAAATGGACAAACTCATAAACATGCATAAGTTAAAACAAAAATAAATAATCTATTTAAAGTTATTCAAAATAATTATTGATTATTTTCCTTCCTCGAATGTTTGGGGTGCACGATGCCATGCACCCCACTAGTTCTTTAAATATTTTTGAAAAATTTCGTTTTTCACTTAAATTCTGGTAAAAAATAAATACACTTGATATCTTATAAGACTCCCCCTCCCTCTACCCCCCTACGTGATTATTCGTGATTTTTTGTCAACCCCTTCTCCTGCCTTTTAAGCCTGAGATTTATGGACGCCCCTTAAGAGCTCAGAATATTCAAACCATGTGAATTTTTTTTTAAATAATTGTAAATAATCTTACTAAAAACCATTCCCAATTGCGCTCCGCTAAAAGACAATGATCCAATTCGGCTACGTTCGCTTTTTGGAACCCAATTTGTGAGTATTACACTTATTGCAGGATATAAAGGACCTTGTCCAGCTCCAACTATGAATCTGAGAAACACCAACACGTACAAGGCGATAACGTCACTGTAAAAAAATAATATAATTTCATGTGAATCACTAATGCCTTACTCTATCCAGATATTTTTCTTACTTTTTAAACAGATCTATCACTGGAATGATGAGAGTGGCGATTGAGCAGATCAGCAAACTGCTACCTAGGACAATTTTTCCGCCGATTCTTTCGGCAAAAACTGCTGCCGGGACGTGGGTTATGAAGTAGCCCCAGAAAAAAGCAGATTTGATTATACCTTGCTTACTGTTATCCCATGCGTATAGTTTGGCAAATGGTAACTTCCCCTCTGAAAAAAATAAATAAAAAAAGTTGTTTGTATGAGAACTGCAAATCCGATTCAAATGATTCAAAACTGCTCGTATTGTGAAGATAATTTTATTCTAAATATTATCTGTTACTCACGAGTATGAAGAAGCATCTTCGCCTTCAGTAACACACATTGCAGTAATGAGAACATTGAATCCTGTTCGAAGGCTATAGGCTAAAAAGCAGGCTGAGGAGCACATCAGGCCCAAGATCCATCGTTGAGGTAAGAGGAAAACTATTGATACAAATTTATAAAGATTTACACATAACGTAAAGATTCTGATTAGAATCACTTAAGGGCGCAGTGCAACTCTAAACTTTGATGAATTTTTGTAATTCTGCTCATCGTAGCACTATGATATTTTTTCGAGTATGAAATCTACAGTCATACAAAGTCAAAAGGTAATTCAAAAATAACATTTTCAAATACCGAACCAAAATTCAATCAATACTACTAAATAGTACCAACTATTGTTTAACGTTTGATTTTGTCTGATTACAAGTCGTTATCTATAAATTCAATACTATAATTAATTATTTATTACATTTTGTACATGGATGTCCTTGTCTCCCACCGCTCGAGCTGGACTCTCCTGTTCCATTAAATTTTTCTTAAAATAAATTCCAATATTATATTCTAATAATATATTATAACGATTAATCAATGAAATAAATTTTCAATACTTAAAAATGTAAAAATATAAAAATGTAAAATTAAAAGTGACGTATAAATTGACATTTATTATAACAAGTGACTATGAAAATAAAATTAAGTAAATATAAATATAAACCAAATTAAATAATTTTTAAATCGCTGATGTACTCGAGCGGATCTTAGTCGAAAAATGAATTGATATATTAGCCAATAAATTTATATAGACATAAAAAATTATGCTTAACTAATAAAGAAAGAATAAAAATTAAAAATAATTATGAGTGTCTAAATGTACTAGTTTCAAAGACTTTACACTACATGAACTGCTAGTGCTCATATATTTTCCATTTTATAAGGGCGACTGTGACGTCACTGAGTGAACGAGCGTTGCCGACAATCGTGGAACTCTCCCGATTGATTAAATGTCATATGCCTTATAATGTCATATATATTATAAGGTCTATGTATATGGCGTTTAATTATTCGGAAGTGTCCACGATTATCGGCAACGCTCGTTCACCCAGTGACGTCACAGTCCCCAATGAAAAACATATGAGCGCTAACAGTTTATTCCATCTTTTAGGTAGCTTAAAGTCTTACATTTTTTTACAAGTGATACATGGGCTAATTAATTCCACAAAGATACATGGCATGTATAATTTTGAAAAATATTCCCAATAGAAAAGAATAATTGTTTTTAGTGCATATGAGTTTTGTAATTTCCACAACAAAGGTAGTGTGAACAGAAAACTATGTAAAAACGGTATTATATCTATTCTTTAGAATATGACAAATATTTACTTCCAATAATAAATTTGTATGTCAGTATCATAAAAATGCGGTTTTATTTCACTTTCTCATTTAATTGTATTAAGAAATAACATAATACAACGCAAAAATCCTTGCATACAACGATGCAATAATAAAGTAATTAAATAATTGATATCGAAATTTTTTAACTCCGTCCAATTAAACAAACACAAAAATCTATTTTTGGAATATATCGACCAAATTTCATCGATGATTTTAAGTTCAACTTGAAAGACCAAATTTAGATGGCAAAACCATAGTTTTCTAATTTTAATCTTTTCGTACATTTTTTTAAAATACATAATAAATGCAATTATGAATTAGGCACGTTTGATAGTCCATTATTTAAAATGAGAAAAAAATATATTTTTTTGCGTATATTTTCTATTTAGTAATTGTTTATATAGTTTCAGTCGAGTATCTATTTCTACGAATGGTGCTGGCTTTAGGAGCTTCTTCCACTTCATTAAAGTCTTGAACATCGGAATCGCTGAATATGATAAAAATTAATGTGCAGACACAATAAACAGCCATCGACAGAGCCATCACATTACGCCATTCTGATAAATGTTGCTGGAAATTATATTTAAAATACAAACATAGAAAAACTTTCTTCTTAAAATATGCAATACTAAAGGACCGATTCTACCGCATAACAGCAAAATGTTACGGCAAGGCCATGTTATGAAGAACTTTCCATACTAATTTAACATGCGGTTGGTATGCAGACAGGCGAATTCATCAAGTTATCTGATAGAAAACATAACCTAGAAGCCGCACAAACGTCAAAGAAATGATCTTAGATAACAGGGTCTTTCTGACACAGTTTTATAACATACGAGTGCACAGCAAATGTATGACATTTTAACAGTATGCAGTATCATTCATTAGCATAATATATGGAAGTCGGAGCTTAACATGGCCTTGCCATAACATTTTTCTGTTATGCGAGAGAATCGGGCCATGAATTATGAAGAGCTTCATAGAGATCTGACACCTTTGTTTTTGTCTATCTAATATTGGTTTATGAAATTTAACAATTCGTAAAAATACGTTTTGAAAAAAATATTTTTTTTTTAACATGAAAGTGAATTTTTACAAACTTACATCTACAACTATTGATGCAACCATCGATGGTACCATAACGCTGATGATACCTCCCATACCATTGGTAATAGCCATCAGAACTCCTGCAAAATTTGGACACAAATCTAAAGTGTTGACGACAACTCCAGAGTAATTTGCAGCAGTCAATGCTAAAATTAATAAAAAATAATTAAACCAATAAATAATCCAGTTATTCTAATCTAATATATTATCTAGTTATTCTAATCTAATCTATTTTATTAGTACAGACAAAAGATTTCCCTAATGCTCTATTCAGCTGATTTACTTTATAAACTTTCTTCAAATAAATGATAAAATATTCAGTTTTCAAACACATGACTTTATTTGAAAACTAAATATTGTACTATTTGATATTGATAATTTTGTTAGAAAAAATATAAAAATTTAGTTAAATAAAATTGTGAAAATAATGATATATTATATAAAATATTTACCGAATCCTAGCATCACGCAGATGAGTCCGTAAACTTTATGACAACCAGCAGTCGTCAAAAGCAGCAACAGTATACTAGAACCAAAACCAGCTGCAAAAAAATTATATATTAAATTCACTTACAAATATCTTTTATTTTTCTCTTACCAATTCCTGCAAAAATCTTCCTAGTAGCCCTTGGTGATAATCTAGAATTATTATTCAAATTATCTGACAGGACAGCAATTACAAATGCTGTTACAAATTTTAGAATATGAGCAGAAGTCAGCCAATACCTGGAAAATATATTATATAAAAAATATTTATTGCAAAAATGTAAATATTTTTTAAAAAATTATTTACCAACTTGTGGTCATGTCAAATCTGATGATGTCTCTCATGTACCTTGGAATTTCTTGGACGATCAAAGTATTGTAATATTTGTAACCAATCTGGAATAAAAAATTAAATGTGATTATTTCAAAATTTATTATAGTATGATGAAATTTTATATATGCAATTAACAAAAAAAAATAGTTTAAAAGCATTAGGTCTAGATACAAATTTAAACTATTAAAGAATCTGGTCAATGACTTAGGAAAAAATTGTTTTCTGGTGATTGCTTATTTAGGAAAAAAATGTTTTCTGGTGAAATTATTAAAGCAGAAAAAATGTATAAAAATTTTGAAAAAAATTGATTTTGGCAACTTGTTAAATTAACATATTTTTACATTGTGACCCCCTAAATACTTGATATAAAGTAAAACAATTGCTCTAATTCAAACTATTATAGTAAACAATTAAATTAGATTTATTTGAAGTCTGAAGATCGTTTAAAGAAGACATTATAAAAATTTTAGATTTAAAGTTTCAGCAAAAAAACATAAAATTTTGATCTAGTTTGAAAAAGATTCCTGAAATATTTCATCAATTTCGTTAACATTTTTCAATAATGACTTCTAGAAGAATTGATCAAATATAAGGTATTGGTAGGTCCTCAAGTTATTATTGAATTAGATTTATTTCAAGCCTCAGGAAGGTGTGAAAGAAAAATCATAAAATTATATTAATTAGTTAGTAAATTTATATTCTTACAAATCCAACAACTAAGGCTTTTACTGGTCCATTTGAAGCCATTTCTTGCCAATGTGTAACTTGGCCATTTAACATATCAGCATCACGAATTTCGCTCAATAAAGATTGCCTTTCTTGTTTTGTAATAATTGGATCTTCCAATGGATTATTGAAACACAGTAATTGCTAAAAAATATAGGAAAAATTAACTACACAAAATATAGTAAAAATTTTATATATTTAGCCCTTAAGGTCAATTGTCCCAAGTGCTATATTTATCCTAAGAAAATAACATTATAAATACTATAGGTAAATACCATAGGTTTTTCTTAGAAAATAGAAAATCATTTTATCAATATCAACATTGTCAATTTTTGCATTGAATATATTGTCACACCTTGAAAAAGCAAATAAATTGAAGAAATTAATTAGAAAAATTGTAGAAAAATGTACCCATGAATTTAAGCTTCTTCGTAAAATATTGAGGTCCCTAAATTAATGTTAATTTTTGTTAGACAGTTCTACCAAAGACAATTTTTTATATAATTTGGAATACTTTAAAGAATTTTTTTTTTTTGTAAAATATGGAGTCTTTAGAGTAAATCATCCAAAAAAAATATTTAGTTAGTATTAGTAATTAATTTCTTGGTGAGTTCTGTTACAGATTTTTTTTTCTTTACCATTGCTTACCCAAAAAGGAAACCAAGCAATTCCCAGGCCACCAAACAAATAGAAAGAACCTGTCCATCCAGAACCTAGGCCAAGATTTGTTGCAGAATATCCTATTCCTGTTCCTAGATGTCCTGCAGAAAATATTATCGTGGCCAAACGACATCTTTTACTTCGAGGTATCCAATGGGCTAACAATGTGGCACAAGATGGATTTATACTTCCCTAAAAATAAAAAAATAAAGCAAAAATTAATTCTACTTTTATCGCCTGTTATAGAATAAAAAGTTGAGAACCCAGTCTTGCCGAGATGAGATAATAAATAGGTATTTGCAATTGTGATTTAAAATCGATATCGCAACAATGTCACAAATGGTTAAGTTCACTTGAAATTATATATTATTAGATCTATATTACTACTACCGTTTAAAAAGGACTTACATGTGAATTATAAATACTGTATATATAAAAGTTTTATATGTAAAGTTCCAGCAAAAAAAACATAAGAATTTTAACCTAGTTTGAGATAAAAAAAATCCTAAAATATTTCATCAATTTCGTTAACATTTGCAATGAGAAATCTGTGGCATCAAGACCAAAGTTCTTATGATTATCTGACCTGAAATAGCCCAACAAAAACTCTCGAAGCCACAAATCCATTATATCCCCATTGATGTAACATTTGAGGTGTAACAAAAGTAGTCATAGCCGATATCAAAACTCCATAGCCCATTATTTGTTTTCCACCGAAATAGTCCGAGAGCATTCCGCACGTTATGTGACCCACAAGATAGGATAAGTAGAAGGCTCGACCCAGGTTTAGGCGTTGGGTGGCGTCCCAGTCGAAAAAGGATTCCTGAAATTCAGAAGTCAGAGGATTCAGAATGACATGAAAAATATAAAATTAATATATCGGATTTTTGTCGAAAAAATAAACTTTTTCTTTGAGAATTAATGTTGGTAATATAATTACCATAGTAATGTTCATTGTATTATTCGGCGGCCTCGGACAGTTTATTTCTCCATCATCATCGATGTAGTTTTCGATATCGCTAAAATAATTATTTTGTTAATTTTTATACTAAATTTTTTAACATAAATAAGATAAATATTTCATATTTTTATACCAATGCTTTACTGTGTTAATAAATCATTATATATAGCATAAAATTGCTATACAGCTTGCGTATGAATAAATAAATAAACTGAAATAAAATTAATTTGTCTATTTAAGATATATGATATGATTAAATAAATAGAATAATATTTTAGTAATAAACTATTTCTTACTTTCTTAGTTTCATCTCGTTCATAGAAACACTAAAAACAGTCCTCATTCCATGACTTACTAACATCGCAAAAAAGCACATTGCCACAATCAACATGTGCTGCTGGACAGGACATACTAAAAAAAAAAAAATTAGCAAAAACATATTTATATTGAAAAGTTTTTGTTTCTATATTTTTAATCGACATTCTATACCAGAATGGCAACCCAGTGGTCGACCACTCTCCTTTTTCATATATAGACTATATACATTAAGAAGACGATTTCACCCCTTGGCGTTTCTTATACAAAATAGTACTAAAAACTGTCAAAATGCTATGTATTTGCTGTGCGATCAGGCGTTTTACACATTAAATGCAACTTCACTCATATGCTATTAACACATCATAAAGATGCACTTAAGACAACATTTTTTTTGACATTTGTGCCTTTTCCAGGTTAGGTTTTCTATCTGAAACGCCTAACTGATCAAAATTTTCTGAACACGGCAACCCAGTGTTGACCACTCTCCTTTACATTAAGAAGTCGATTCTGCCCCCTGGCGTTCCTCATACAAAATAGTACTAAAAACTGTTAAAATGCTATGTATTTGCTGTGCGATCAGGAGTATTACACATAAAATGCAACTTCACTCGTATAAGACACATCAGAAAGATGCAATTATGATCTGAATTTTTTTGACGTTTGCACGTTCTCTAAGTTAGGTTTTCTGTCTAGAACGCCTGACTGTACAGCAATCACATAGAATTTTGACAGTTTTCAGTATCATTTTATATGAAAACACAACCTTCATTATTATTTTGTCTAAAACAGCCTTGCCATAAAATTGGTCTATTTTAATATATCTGGTAGTGTTGACTGGTATAAGTTGTAATAAAATCCGGTTTTCACGTATTGTGATCATATTTGAGATTTATAAGCACAAGTGAAGCAATTAGATATTATACTGCTTGATATCGAGTTGGCCGTGATTGCAAAATTAGTAATAAAACTCTTCAATTAGGTATTTTACTCGTACCAAATTTTGAATCACTTCAATCATAATATCACAGATAAATCATCAAATCAATGATAAATTATTGATCAGGTAAAATAATACAAAACCTGATTGATTAATTAGGAGCTAACTCTAAGCAAAAAATATATACTCATATAATTTTCAAAAATTAGATTGTTTTGATTATTTAATTATATATAATAAACATCAATCTAACGAGCTCTTTTATTTTTTTTAAATTAAAATTAGTAATATATAGATAACTACTATTATCTATTTGTATTAGTTTATATATCAAATTTTCCAAAAATCATCTTTATCATATTAGTTTACAAATATTCTGTTTGAAATACAAATAGTCTGTTGATTCTGAACAATTTACTTAGAATACTTTTTTTTGAAATATATACAATTTTACAATTATTGTTAATTTAAATTGTACCTTTCATTAACCATTGGTGGATTGATTTGTTCATTGTGCATATTTTAAAAAAATATTTTTAATTTTGATCAAAAACCAAATACTAATTTGACGTTTTCGTGTCATAAAATTTTCAAAAACTAAGTTTATAAAAATTTTAAAAAATTGTTCAGAAATTAATTTATCTCTGTTTACTACATAATGAGAAAACATATTTCTGATCAAAATCAAGAGGATATTTCGTAAAATTATTGAGAAATATTATATTTAAGTACATGTCAATGATTTGGCATTTAAATAATTGTTAATTAGAAAAGTTATAATTACAATTGCATTTTTAAATAAATGATTAACAAACGTAAAATTATTTATTTCTTCAAAATCTTATACATAAATATTCTTATACGTAAATATTCTATTCCTAAATAAAATATCAAACTACAACTAGCATAATACATTTTCTTATTAAAAATTAACACTAACTAATAATATTATAAAAATAATTTAATATTGCCGAATTTGTCGTGAATACTTGTACAATGTATTCAGTAAATAGCGATCTAATCAAGATCGTTAACTAGAATTAATTTAATTATAATAATTATAAGTATAATTATGAAAATTATAAATATAATTTTTAATACTAACGATTTTAGCTATGCGATAGCTATAATTATTTATATATCATTGGAGGAATTTTTTTTAGCAGATTTTATTTTTTATTAAGAAAATATGAAGATGAAGCTAATACACATTATTTGTATAATTAAATTAATATTAAAATTTGTGATTAATCGCCAAAACTTAAAAATGTGAAAAATATATTATAAACCATTAATGAAATTAATAAATTAAAATATATTATTAACAAATAACGAGTATAAAATTATTATACATTATTTGTGTGCCTGTTAATTTGAAATAATTTTAAAATTTGAGAATATTATATTGAGCAACGTATTTAAAAATATTTAAAAAAAATAAGCATGAAAATACTGTAACTTGGAAAAGCAAAATATATGAGTAAAATTAATTTGTTTAATTTAATTAGTTAATTTTGTTATTAACAACATTTTGCAAAAGCCACGAAATTTATTCAATAATTTAAAAAAAAGTATTATTAAGAAATCTGGTGTTTTCGCGTACAAAAAAACAGATTTATAGCCAAAAATGTTTTATCTGGAAAATTATTTTTTGTTTATATTTTTAACTTCCCGTAGGGTAAGTTATTGTAATGGGCCGAAAATCGGAATTGAAAATTTTTACATTTCTCGACGTTTTGAAGGTTTCTGAACATTTTGGCATACCTCAGAAAAAATGGATGTGTGTGTGTGTGTATGTGTGTGTGTGTGTGTATGTATGTGTGGATACAAATTTCCAGTCACGTTTTAGGGCGCACGGATCAACCGATTTGAATGGTTCAAAAAACATTCGATTCCTATTGATAGGGAAAAAAGCTGATTAGTTTTTGGCAGAGGCAGGTCCAGCCGTTTCGGAGATACAGAGCAAAGAGTGCGGAAAATAGAAATCGAATTTTTGAGAGAACGGAGTATCCGATTTCAATGATCTAAAAAACATTCAATTAGTAATGATTGGGAGAAGTGTTTATTAGTTTTTGGCGAAGGCAGGCCCAGCCATTTCGAAGATACGGAGCTAAATATGTAAAAAATGGCAGTTTTTGAGAGAACTAAGCGTCCGATTTGAATGATTCAAATAACTTTCTGCTTGTCTTAACAAAATAATTGATTTTGGAAAAAAAAAATTTTGTTCCATTTTTTTTTTTTTTTTTTTAGTTTTTTGTTGAAACAAATAATTTCAACTTTGCAATTCAGTTTATATAATTCTTATAAATATTAGACAATGTTACAATATTTATAATAATCTATTTGAAAACATTCAGTATTCCTCGAACATTTCGTTACGGTACGGGAAGTTCCAGCAATTTGCCTTAAGGTACGATGCCACCCACCCCACTAGTTAGTGTTTTTTTCGTAGAACTCATTAATTTAAATTTTCACGTTTCTTTCTTAACATTATACTAATTTCTCTTATATTTAGTACTTTTTGTATCTAATATTTTCATACAATTAATTATTTTAAAGCTAAAATTGTTATAAAAAATTATCACTCGATCATTCCACATTATTATTAAAATATCACTTCCAGTCACAGACAATTTAGCGCTGCAAAAAATTACTTTTCATAATTTTATTAGCAACTTTTTTATTGAATTTGTATAAAATATTTCAAAAATATTATTTAAAAATAATGTTTACATACGTTATATATTTTTAATCTATTATTGTAATAAGCAAAACAGTGCACGATTTTCTATGTGTAAATTTATATGTGTTTCAATGAGTAGAAATAAATATTTTTTATATTTTTGGGATTATAAAATTTTTTTTGTTACAAATAATTTCAATTATTTGATTTAGATTTAAACTTAAATTTAGATTTTGTATCGAAATCAAATAATCGAAATTATTCGTCAAATAATAAGGCAATAAAAAAGTCCGAATTTTTGAGCTTTTAACCATGTTAGAAAATGCAATTTTTGCTAAAAATTTGAAATTTTTGAAATGTGCTAATAAAATAAGTACCTCTTCATATATAAAATTCTTGTACGGCTTGTTGAGATCTTGTACGGCATATATGTCAAAAGGCATACGATCCTTATATCTCACACAAAATTGTTTAAAAAATCGAAGAAAGTGAGAACATCAGCGCAAAGTTTCAAAAATTGTATAAATCGATTGCTTTCAAGTGATGGATATATAAAACCATGATAAAAAATCCGTTTAAAGCTTAAAAATATGTTTTGTTTCAAAACTAACGAATTTGTTTATATAATCTATATTGTTCCCATCTGAGGTGAATAATTTCAGTCCTCATCTCAAAATTATCGTTTCTTTCTTCTTTTTTCACCGACTCTAGATCTCTTTACCCTTAGTACGTTTTATTTGAACCTAATTTTTGCTTACTAGATTAAAATTATTATTGGCTAATTTTTTTCGCATTAAAATCCTCTATTTTATGTTGTTCTTTTTCAACGTCCATTTTCGGATTGTTTTTAAGAGGATCGTTCCACCATTGGGTTTCCGCCGATGCGAACAATATATAAACTAAGTTGGTCACATTGAAGACTCCGAAGGCGATCCAGAAGACAACTCGCCATTCTACCAAAGAGTGCTGTTAGAGGAGGAAGAGAAAGAAGAAAGATTAGAGAAATAAAAAATATAGAATAAAAATAAAAATAATATAAACTTAAGAATTAAATGAAAATTATATATACAGGGTGTCCCAGAATTCAACGTCGGGGCGACATGCATTGACAGGATCGATTGCAACTATCATGAAGTAAAATCAAAATTTTCCAAAATAACCATGGAACATGCCAAAGACCTGGTTATTTTAGGTTTTTATTAACTTCCCATAGGGTAAGTTAAAGTAATCGCAAAAAATCGAATTTTTTAAATATCTTTACGTTTCAGAGGTTTCTGAACATTTTGACATACAATAGAAAAAATGGATGTATTTGTGTATGTATATGTGGTTGCGGATACAAATTTTCGTAGACGATTACGGGAACACTGATCAACCGATTTGAATAACTAGAAAAAACATTCGATTCGCATTGATAAGGAGACGTGCTGATTAGTTTTTGGCTAAGGCAGGTCTAGTCGTTTCAAAGATGCGGGGCAAAAAAGCCAAAAATGGTTTTTCAGTTTTTTGGAGAACAGATCATCCGATTAAATTAATTCAAAAAACATTTTGCTCGAGTAGACGGTGTGCAAAAAATGCTTTTACAGAATATTTCTTATTTCTAAAAATTAAAAAAAAAAAATTCTAAATTTTCAAAAAAAAAACAAATTTTCGAAAATTTTCATCCTTTAAAAAAAAAATTGAGAAAAACTAAATTTCAAAAAATATCAAGAGTTTTTTATTGACGTTTTTTTTTAAACAAATCCAAAAAATATCAAACTTTTAAAAAAAATTTCAAAATTTTGAAATTTATTGAACACATTTATAAAGTATTGGACGTTTAAGTTACTCAGAACCATTTAAAATCGCTTAAAGAAATGTTTCCTTTAGGTCGTTCTATTGTATAAATAAGTTTCATTTTTAGGTTTTTATTTTTTATTTATATTAGTTTTTTTATATATGTACAAGAAGGTTTCGATTTTGTTGCATTTTTGGCATTGTATTTCTACAATCAATCATGTCAATCTGTGTCGGCCTGACGTTGAATTCTGGGACACCCTGTATACAGTTAAATATAAAAAGACACAACTGAAAAATTAAAAAATTCATTTAACTTATAATTCTGGTCAAAGATACCATAAATGCACGAGAAGAAATTATAAATTTAAAATAGTAAGAAAAAGAAGTTATAAAAGAAAAATATATAGGAGGAAAGCTAAAATAAATGAATATGAAGAAAATCAGTTTTTTAAAAATCATGCATCTCCAAAAACTAATCATAACTAGTTTTTAAACCTTCAAACTATTATACTTGATCACAAAATTTTAAATATTTGTCTGTCATAAGGAACATATTCATGCATTGGGTTTATATTTTGCGATTTCGAAAAATAATAAACTGTAAGCAAAAAAAAACTTTAAAATCAAAAGTTTTGTTAAACTATTAGTTTTTCATTGTCAATAATATTGTTATTAACGCAGAATGTCATTAAACAATACGCTCCTAATTATTATAAAGAAACCAAAAATTAGGCAATATATTTATCGCCACTAATAATAATAATTACTTTTGGTTAATATTTTTTGTAACTCACATTTGGCGTCAACTCTTCTATCAGATAAGGAGTGATAATTCCGGAAAGTGCCCCAATACCATTGACGATGGCCATCAATGTACCGGCATAATTTGGACTTAAATCTAATGCGTTGATTTTCATACCGGCGTAGAAAGTTCCCATGAAACCTAAAATATAAAAAATCACAATTAAACCCAAAAATGATAAAATTAATTTTATTAGGTATTGTCATGCTATTATAAAAATAAACCTAAAATTATTCTTACCCATTCCAATGGTGAACAGGGCAACCACAAGAGTTTTATCACAACCAGCAAATGATGCTCCGATGATGAAACAAGCTGGACCAACAGATGCTAAAGGATTGAAAATTTAATTAATATTCAAATAATAATATTAACTAAAATATAAAAGTTATATTTAGTTAGTAATATGATGTCTTTTACCTATCGTTGTGAATAATTTCCTAGCATTGGTGACACTCAACATCTTCTTCTTCAACATATGATCGCACCAAATTGCAGATAAAATCGACACGATCCACATGACGACATATGGAAGAGCAGAATATAATCTGAAAAAAAAAACAATCAAAATTTTTAATAATCACCACATTATCATGAATGGACAAATTTTGTATTTGCAAACTTACCCATTTTCAGAAATGTTGAACTTCAAAATGTCGTTCATGTATTTGGGAAGATCGGTTACCATCGTGAAGAAACCCCAATCGTGTCCAATCTAAAAAAAATAATAGAAATATACTTTTTCATTACTTCAACTGAAACCAAGAAAAAAACTAAGAAATTGCTGGAGCAGGAGCATATGCGAAATGCCAAGTTTGGAAGAACATTCTTATAAATATTGACTTAGAATTCACAAATGGTTAAAAATTTAAGTTGAAATAATAGCTGAATCATGCGAAAAATGTATATTCGGAAGAAAAATGTATATTATTTACCTGTGCGCAAATAAGTGCCCACAATGGAACAGATGTCCAAATTGCTCTCCATGGTGTAGGTGGTAAATCAGTTTCCCTGGATGTGCATTTTAAAGTTTCTTGGATATACTCTTTTTCTGAATCCGTGATAAAAGGATGAGATGCTGGATCGTTGTAACAGATCATCACCTGAAAAAAAATCAAGAAGATTAAAAAAAACTGTTGAATTTTGAACGATGTTCTTCAGTTGATTTTCCTTACCCAAATGATAAACCATAAAGTTCCTAATCCACCAAAAAGATAAAATACACTTCTCCAATCTTCAGTGGCATGTAACACAACTCCACTCAAGGCATTTCCAACAATGGTACCAAATTGGGCTCCACCAAACACCAAAGAACCCAATTTGGATCTTTCTAAAGGTGGTGCCCATTGGGCTAGTAGAGAGTTCAAGGCTGGGAAAGTAGTACCCTGGAAAAAAATAATAATTACAAATTTGTAAAAGTGGAGACAATTGATCTGCCACAAAATTTAATTGTATTTTTTGTACCAAATATAACTATCCTAAAATATTTTACGTTTATACTATAGAAAACATAGTTATGCTTCAATACATGAAAAATTTATCTAGAAATATATACAGAAGGTTTTGAGGTTCAAATCCATATAAAAGTTTTAGATCCAATGATTTTGATGTCGATAATTTTCCAGATCAAAAAGGAGGGAATTTATTGAAGTTCCAGTTTAGAAAGTAAAAAAAAAATGCTTTTCATCCAATCCAACATTTTATAGTAATTTTAGTATAAGTAAGTATATTAGAGATAAAATCTCTATTACCTACTACTTGGGAAAAACAGAGTTTCCACTTGAAAAATCTTCGATAATAATCTGAGAATACTAGTAACACTTGAATATTTCCATTAGTTGGATATTTAACTTGTTTTACTTGATAATAAAAGCTCACGTCACCAGATAAAAAATGACAAAGCCAAATATTTCAAATTCTTATCGAACAATTGATATATGGTCTAGTGAAAGATAATCTGTAATCGATTTTAGGACAAATACTTCTCTTGTTTTTTTTGTTGGGTAGATTTAAATGGGTTTAGGAAAGGACACAGTTAATTTGTTATATGGAATTAGTTGGGCAGCAATGTTACATAAATATATCAAATAACTCCAATGTAGCAAGAATCACAATCATAGCAGTATATTATGTAAAACTCTATACTAAATGTCATGACAAAACTCTACAAAAGACTATTTTTATACAAGAAATGCATAGATAGTGAATATAAAAATCATTATTGAGATGAATATTTAACAACAAAAGTATTATTATTATTGTTATTCTATTTACCTCTCCCAATCCCTCAATGACTCGAATAACGATCAATCCAGTGGCACCAAATTCTTCTACCACAACTGGTGTCAGAAGTGTGAAAACAGCAGTGCCCAAAATTCCAAAACCAAGGGTATATTTTCCACCAAATCTTTCTGCCAGTAATCCTCCTGGTAAATGCGTTATTACGTAACCCCAGAAGAACGAACTTAGGATCAGGCCTTGCTCTGTATTAGTCCAGTCGTAGATACCAGTCTGGAAAAAAATAGAATTAGAAACAAAAATAATTTGTGCATCAAACGATTTAGTTTGAGCAATTGTGACATCCTCAAGCAATAGTGATATCAGTTTTTACCCGAACCTGTAGATCTAAATACGTTTACAGATCTTCTAAATCAAATTGTCTTGTTCCTAATAGATCAATCAGTACAAGTCACAGATTTTTTTATATAACATATATTATATAACAAATTATTTCACCATTGACACAAGTCCAACAATGCAAAAAATTGCAACACAATTTACCCAAGTATTTGCTTGTTTGCAGATACATTTTTTGCATTACTTAATGCCATTCTTGGCATCAATTTTATTTACACAATTATATCGACTATTGAGAATTTTAAATTATTGATGAATTGATGAATTTCAACATTATGTGACTGATTCAATAAATATTGACAGAAGAAAATCAAATACGGTTTATATAAATAATAATAAATGATTATGTGAATAATTGTGGAAATAAACACTAAATGTTTAATTGTCAATATGGAATGTTTGATAGACTTTGATAGGTTGTATTATCAAAGTACAATAATGACGCTAATAGTGAGTCATTGGATTTTAAACTTTTATTTTAATTAAAAAATAAGCATAAATTGTAATAAATACAAAGCTTTTAGTGTTACTTTATAGTAAAGTTTTTTATTTTTTTATAGTAAAGTTTTATATTTTTACTAATCGAAATTCTAACTAATTGATATTCTTGATTTATCCAACTTATTTCATATTGACCCAAAAAACTAATTCAAGTCAATTACTAGTAATGCTCACAATAATACATCGTACGGAAAGCGTTTTCTACTTGAGATTATATTTGAGATATATAAAATCAAAAGAAAACTTGATAGTATACTGCTTGATATCGAGCTGACTGAGGTTAGGTAACGATTTTAATCATTACTCATTTGATGCTTTTTTATAATATAAGATTTATAATACATAGTACATGAGAACATTGCACCAACAAGCTAATTTTATTATTTGATATCATACTGCTTGATATCGAGCATGCCGAAGTTGGGACTGGTTTGTGGTAGCTTGCGTGCTTAAACTTTACATCACGACATATAATTATATATATATATATATTTTGAGAAATATATATATATATATATATATATATATATATATTTATATATATCTATGTATATATATATATATATATATATATATATTTATATATATATCTATATATATATATATATATATATATATATATATACATATAATTATTGAAAATATTTTTTTCAAACTTACCAATTTGTTTGAACTGCCACTCGATGGATCAGCTGGACATTGTAGATCATCATCAACATGATGTGTGGTATTACTAAAAAAAATATTTTAATTATTTAATTAAATATGAAAAATACAAAATTAATTAAATCGGGGATTGAAGTGTTATGAAAATAATTAATTCATTAATTAAAATTTGCCGATCAAGCAAAGCAAATTTTCTTTACAAAGCGATTGCAGGCACCCAGATCGATCATGTATAAATTCGGATCATTTGTGGATTCAGGAATGTATTTAGGATATTTATTGATTTATGATAGATTTTATTGTTATTGGTTGGTATTTTATATTATGAAAAGAATGTCGAACCTTACCTTTCTTCTTTAGGAACAACCATAACATTTATTGCAACCGACAAACATATTCTCATTGTGTAGGCGTTGGCAACCGCCAAAAATCCCATGATGCCCAAAACATATCTCTGAGGTATTAGAAACACTGTAAAAAATAATTTAACTTAGTAAATCCAATTGATAAAATATAGTTTGTTATTGTTTATATAGATTCAAAATTTTTAAACATTTTTTTTCGTCTGGAATAATTCCAAAAGTTATACAAATCTTTCCCGAGCTCTCACGTTTTATCGTGACAAAATTATTAGCACATTCTCAGTAAATACTAAATTATTATTTAAACATTACCATTATTATACATTCAACTTTACAAAAAAAAATGAATAAATTAACATAGAATAAATATACGAATGAATGAATGAATAAATAGTATTTTTGTAGATATTTTGACGCCATCCCAAGGCTCTTGAGAAATAATGCAAAATTAGTTATCTAGGTCAATCGCAAAAGCAACTTATTTGAAACCAGTTTTTTTTATAAAGTCGGTAAATTTTATAGTATATTTATTATCATGTTTAGTCAAATTTTATTGGTAGTTAAATTTATGAACCTATAAATTTGCAGTAATTATATATGAAATTCAAAACGGTTTTGTCTATATTATAATACAAAAACAAATTGGTAATAAAATAAATAATTAATAACGTCGTCGTATAGACAGACTTTCAAAAATAATTAGTAATAGAAAAAATTGTCTGGTAGTTAAAAAATAATAATTTGCAATATTTAACTTGTTATTTTTTAATTTCTTGAAGGAAGAGCTTCTGTTCCCATGAGAAAAACCCATTTCCTAAGTTTATGTTTTTTGACTTCTGAATCCAAAATTGGATTCTGAAGTGTGAGACCAAAATTTGATAAAGTATGTATATATCTGTTTTGTCTACCAAAAATATAAATTTCTCCTGCAGGAAGTTAAAAAATACACAAGCATCATATATATATGGAAAAAGTCAAATTTCCAAAAGTTTCACTTATTTAATTATTTAGAAACTTTTACGTCCGATTGGAGACTTTTACTGAGTGTAAATCACATAGCTGGTTCTCAAGGAAATAATTCTGGATGAATCTAGATTTATCTGGCCAATATTGCAAATTAAATTGTACCAGTGAAATGCTGACAGGTTTCAGAATAAATGAAGCTCTGGGATACATTTTATTCGTGAGATATTAAAACACCTCAATTTACAGTCTATACATAACAGTAGGTATAAATTTCAAAAAAAAAAATGATAATAAAGTTCAAAAAATCCAATATTTTTCATAAAAAAATTTCATAAATAATATGGGTCCAACACTAAAATTAAAAATATTAGTATAACATATTTTGTAATTAAAAGTTTCAAGATGCTTTGAAACAAATATTTTGCTCAATATTTAAAAATTGAAGGAGCGATTAAATTCAAACTTTTATGCTTAATCGATTGACATAACTTACAAGAATCATTGAAATTATTTAATACATTAGGTATTTTTAATTTTTAATTTTTTTAATTTTTTTTTTAATTTAATGGCCTTGCTAACTTTGAGCGTTTAGCCACCTACTGCATTATAAGTTATTTTATATTTTTACATTATTATTTAAAAATATTTTCTACTATCGTTCCATCTATTTCAATTAAAATTAAAACTTGTCTAGTACTATTAGATAGTTGCACAGACATGCAAATTAATTGCTACTATGTAATTTTATGAAATAAAGATTTTTTTCATTAAATTTCTGTTATTAATTCATATCCACCGGAAAGTCGTATATGGAAAGCGATTGTATGAAATCAAAATAATTTATACTAAAAACTCTGGTTTTTATAATAACCAACCGCTAGTTTTTTTATCAAAACTAACGCTAGTTTTTTTATTAAATTATAATTTAGATTCAATTATACCATTGTATAAAATCTGAAGCTAATTTTTAGTGCAAAAATTTATAGAATTGTATAGGCAAAAATTATTAGAGTATTATCTAGAAAAAGTTGTTATGACTGAACAAATAATATAAAAACATTGGTATTCAGAAAATTGTGGAATTTTCAATCACGATAACAAATGATAATGCATTACATTATATAACATACAAAATTTTAATCTGATTTAGCAAATAAACAATTTTTTTTTTGGAGTTATGACATTTAATTTTTTAAGTGTATGTAATTATTTTTATTTAAAATTGATATTAAGACAAAAAATATTTGGCTGATGTCATTTTTGTTTTTACTTCTGCACTATATTCATATACAATATTAAATATGTTTGTCTAGAAATTTATTGGAAGGATGAAATTAGAATGTGATAAGGAAGATCTAATTTTAATTTATTAAAATTAATTCTGACTACAAAAACAATGGTGTGCTTTTAATTTATAAAATTATAAAAATATTTCAGAACATTTTGGAAACAATTTAGTGCACTAAATAAATATAACATAAATTTGCCACGATGGATCATATACAAAGAGTAGAATTTTATAAAATATATACTTTTTATTTTGCATTCACTAAAATTTCGGTTTATAGGAAAAATCCTATCTTCAATTTTATGAAAAATATTTTCATGTTTATATATATAATTCAAAAAATGTTAATCATCAAATGAAAATTTTCTGTTTAATGTTTTTCTTCATACTAGATATTTTTAATAATAGAGTCATTTGCTCAATTGCAATTGCAATTGAAAATTGTTGTAATACTTAATTAACATAAGTATATTTTACAGTCAATAATTCTTCTATTTTACTTTAATTTAATATGACAGGCGAAAACCATATATTACAAGCTCGAATGGATGACAGAATAATAGGAGTGCTGGTGTAAAATTAGTTAGAAAATAATTTCAAATTGTAACTAGAATTTTTTAGTTAATAGAGAAAGAATAGAATTAGATATTTTGAACAGAATCATGATATATTTATTATATTTCTAATTTAAAATTCTTAGTTAATATTTCTGAAGTAAAAAAGATTTAGGAATACACGTATGCTTAAGAGTATTTTCATAAAATATGTTTGTTTTATATTATTGATCAAAATTATTTTATATATGAAAGAAGACAAAAAAATTAAAGGCTGGTTTAAAGTTAGTTACAAAATCATTTTTAAATGTAACTTACATATTATTAGGCAAGTTTTAAATGAAGTTAAATAGTTTACAGTAACGTATTTAAAATAAATTAGATTTAAGATATTTAATAAATGTCTCCAAAGTAAAAATACCGGAGAAAAAACGAGGGTGCTTAAAAAGTCTTTATAAAAAAATATTTAATAAATAAAAAAATATTAAATTTAATATATTATAACAAAATAAAATATGTATTAAAAAAATAGAGAGCACAAGTCAGAGTTAATTTTAATAAATTTATTAAATTTAACATAATCAACGTTGAATTCATTAATAAACACTATAAAATATATAATGCACCAAAATAATTTATTAGGTGTAATATAAATCATTATCTCAATTCACTAGAAATTTAAACAAATTAAAGAATATAAAAAATTGACATATTTTAATCAATCATGTATTATGTAGGTATGCAATGTCATTTGAAAGTGTAATTATGTGCATTGCAATATTACTTGTTAAGATATTAATTTGATTAATTAATTTTTTACATAAACCGTATCTTCATTAGGAATTCCATGAAAATTTTTCTCTATTTTTTAGTTAATACGGTTTATTGTAGTTTTTTATGTTCTATTTAAATTTTATTTTATATCTTTTTATCAGAAGACAAATTCAATATAAAAAAAGAGATAGTAGATGGAAAATATTAATTTTATTACAAATGGAAAGGCAAAAAATAAAGTAAAATGCTGGAAATGCTGGAAAATTTCTGAATTATTTAGAAACAAAAAGCTGAAGAAAAACTTTTTTTCTCAGAAACTTGTTTCATTGTGACTGAAAATAATAAGAATGTGCAAAAATAAGAATTTAACAAAATAATGTATTGAAAATGTTAATTTTGTTGATACAAATAGGAATAACAAACATTTAAACAGAATACAATTACTATAAACATAGATCTGATGAAACTAAAATTTCGAAAAACATCGAACATGATTGTAAAATTGTTGACAAAACTTCATCACTATTTTTAAAAAAACTGATTCATTTATTATACTGCACATTCTTTAAACGTATTATATTTGTTTATTATTAAATTTTGTGATTTAGTTGAAAATATATTTTATACGTGGATATTTTGTTCTCATTTCATTTTCTCAAATTAATCAGGTTTATCTTTTCTGTATTCGGGGGTTCGGGGGTTCATTTACGTGCTACAGTTGGTGGCGCACTCTATGGAGTGGGAAAACAATTAAAATTGAAGTAATAGCAAAGTGGCGGATTTTTGCGATCTATTTATACTTCTTTTTATCTATGCTCCAACAAAATTCAAACATGATTTGTATTATAATCATTCACTCAGTAAAAAATAAACTGGAACAGTTATCTAAGCAAATCCATAATGATCTCCAAAAAAATCTCATTACGTGACATACCACTACTTTTTCTAATTATGTAAATTTTTTCGCATATGACAATGTAAAGCATGATTATGTAACTACAAAAACATTTTCGTTTTTATTGTGCAAAAATAAAACAGATCGTGTTCACTTTTCAATAAGGGGAATCACGTACGACTTTCCTTGCGCGTCAAACCGGATAATAATTTTGTACGACGATTGCATACAAATTGTCAAAACGTGAACATTGGAAAGTGATTTAAATTTTATTATCGACTGCGACGAAAAGTCGTTTAAATGAAGAATAATATTTATGAATTAACAGCACACTTGTTATGGAATCACACTACACCAAACTGTACTAATTAAAGTACTCAAATTCATGTTCCCAAAGAGGAATTCATGTTCCCAAAGAGAAATTCATGTTTCTCAGGTAAAATCATAGATAAAAGAAGTATAAATTGATCGCAAACATGTTGTCTCTTCCAATACTTCAATTTTAATTGTTTCCCCGCTCCATAGAGGCGCCACCAACTGTAGCACGTAATTTCACCCCTAGGTTCAATTCTAGACAAAATGTGTACACAGATACAGTTTCCATTTTTCTCCTTAGATTTTTTATTTCATTT